GTGCCGGCTGAGAGAAGGGAGGGTTCCCTGTAGCGGCCTCTCGGCGGGGAGCCGCTTCTGGAGAAGAGCTCCAGGGCGGAGCGGATGGCTCTCTATCTCCTCCCCGCCAGAGAGCGCTCGGGGGCCCTTTCTCCTCTCTCTGCTTTTTTCGAGCGGCGCACGCACACAATTCACGGCGCAACTCGGCATAGGAGTCAAGGCACGCATGTATCATTTCCCACAGGGGGCGAATAGCCAGCGAAATATCGCCTCCCAATTCCGCCGAGGCGAGGTCCCCGCCTAACTTCTCCCATGACGGCAGGTTTAAATGCCCTGTGGGTAAAAACCAGGGAGCCACCCTATCTATCTCTGCTATGAATAGTTCCAGTGTTTTTTGACCTACCCTGAGGTCTCTAGCTTTTAAAAGCTTCCTAAGGGCCTTTACCAAGGGCCGCGCCTCCGCGCTCGGTAAATTACCCATTCTCAACCTCTAAGGGCTGTTACTCACCGCGTGTGACTTAAAGAACCCGTCACCTACGCGTGAGCCTGAGGGGAGTCTAAAAGCCCTGTAGGTGCGCGCCACCCAGAGCCCAGGCTTATCCCCAACTCACCTGTCCGGCAGCACCACGCTGGAGCGTTGCACACCACCACCGTGTCTCGGGGTTGATCAGTCCCCGTGCGGGTCACCAAATGTCGGGGTCGCTCCCGGCCGGCAGGAAAGACACACGACAAAGTCTGGCGGTGTGCAGCCTTGCCTTTATTTATCTCCGCGTGGGCCCCGCGAGGCCTCCACTCTGCCACCAGCCCTTTCTCGCCGGTGGACTTTCTCTATCTCTCTCTGTGCTTTCTCTGTGCTTCCTGTCTCGTGGCGGGAGAGGCATTCACTTTTATAGGGTGACAGTGGCCAATCAGTTCAAAGCGCGCGATGCGGGCTGATTGGCTAACATCAGTTGTTGCTAGGCAGACTATCTTACAGAGCGGGTTGTTTAAGTCGCCAGCGCAATCAGGGGGCAGGAAGCAGGCACCAACTTGACTCACTCGATGGGAGGGGCAATCTAGCTCAGGCTCCGCTCCCACCCACAGGCCCTACGTCCGCCAAGTAAGGCGACCGGTGTCGGCGGCTCCCAACACCTCACTAGACCTTAAACCCTCCAGCCTGGGGAGCTTTGCATTAATTATATGAAATATTTATATAGTTGGTATATGTTTGCAATATATAATGATTGCATTCATTTTGGGGAATCGGTGCTTGTACATCTATCATCTGGATCATTTTTACTTCCCCTCCCCTCTCCCCATTCCTTCCCTAGATCCCCTTCCTGTCTCCACAAAGCCTAGCTCTTTGTTTCCTCCCTGCTCTCTTTTCTTTTGCTCTTTAAATTATTTATATTTTGAGTTTCTCACATAAGAATGTCTACACAGACATTTGTCCTTCTATGTCTCATGATCTATCCATTTTCCTCCACATGACTCAAATTTGACCTTCTTTAAGGTTGAGTTTCACTACTTCTTTTTATTTCTTAGTTGCACCCACTTCAAATGATTTTCCAGATAATGGTAATACAATAGCTAACACTTAGTGTTCTATATACTGCTCTGGTATCTTTGTGCTATCTGATTTAATCTTCCACCATCTATAGGAAGTCACAGACTCATTCTGTCACTGTCCTCAGTTTACACAGAGGAATATTGATGGGCAGCTGGGCATGGTGGCCACCTGTAATCCTACACCTCTGGAGGCTGAAGAAGGAGTATGGCCATAGTTTGAGGTGGTAAATTTAGGGCCAGCCTGAATTGCATAACAGGACCCTGTTTAAAAAAAAAAATACTGATGTGCAGAGAGCTAAGGTAACTAAGAGATCACACAGCTTGAAAGTAATGGCTGGAGTTTGGCTTCAGGATCTGGTTTCAAAGATCTTAGCTTCCCAGTACACAAAACTGCTTCTAGGTAGGTTTGATCTGTTCATCCGGGGAGAGGCCCGCGGATGCAGGCGCCTTCCGCTTTTGAAACAAGCATTAGGAGCCTCTTCTGGCTGACTGGCTTCATGATCTTGTGTCTGCTTTTTACATATGCCTGGGTCATGCATGCCTGTGGCTCAGTTTCACAGGATGGTAAAAAATATTCGGTGATAATAAATTTCTCCTCTGCCTTTTTCCAAATACCCTCCCTGTTCAAACCTGCTTAAATGTTAGCCTATTTTCCAGAGCTAATCTTCACATGTAAAACTTGGAAATAACCTTTTTTTTTTTTTTTTAAACAGCATCTAGCTCTGTAGTTCTGGCTTTATTATTGTATTTCCCCTAAAATAAGATCTAACTGGAAAATGAGCCCTAGAGTGATTTTTCAGGATGCTTATGAGCCCTACTCCCAAAATAAACCCCCATTAAGATCACCAGCCAGATGGACACACTTAGTTCATCTGTTGTAACACATGATGGTTGAATGTATTGAATTATAAAATAATAAGTTATTAAACATGAATAAATATAAGTGACATTAATATTTAAAATAAATATATAAATTATAATTAAGTAATACTAATTAGTAATTATCAGTAAATATCCAGGCCTTTGGTAAACTCTTCTGTAAACAGATGAATTTGAGATATGTTACTGAAAGACCAATGCAAACACAGACACAACACACGAATAATGTAACTCTAGATAACTGACATACATGGCTGTGTCTAATATGAATCATTATAATTTAATATGTTGTATGTTATAAGGGCTGTACTTAATGCACTCCCATGAAAGACAAGTTTTCTGAATTTTGGTGCCTGCAATTTTTTGTCACTTGTGTGGACCATCATTCTTAACTGTCATCATTTTTGTTACCACTCCTGTCTCAGAAGTCTTCAATTAATGCTTGCTTTAATGGAAACTTTGTGAAGCCCACCCTGCAGGAGGATGTGACTTGGGTGAAGAATTCACTGATTGAAATCTCTAATGACTGCGTTGCCAATGCACCATGAGCAGGCCACATGGGCAAGCAATGCTCATTTAAATAGAGCTCTACTGCTGGATGTGAAAGACTGGGACCAGTGGTTCTACAGGGACTTGGGTCCTAAGCAATTCAGTATGGATTCTGGGGTTTGGAGAGAGACAGTAATGTTCCAGAAGACCAAATGATCATATTTAAATAAATGTAGGTTTTTGTAGATAAATACTGCATTGTACACAGATCACATTTTGCTTACCCACTCATCTATTGAACATGTAGACCACTTCTGAGATTTAGTTTTCATGAATTCTGCTACTTGAAACATAGGAATGCTTGTATCATTGTAATAGGATGACTTTAACTCTTTTAGGAAGATACACAGAATCAGAATACTTAGATCAAATGGAATTTCTAATTTTAGTTTTTTGAGGACTCTCCATACTGATTTCCCGTACTGGCTGTACTTATTTATCTGAAATCCTATGTGCAGAGAATACACAAGTGTAAGGGACGTTTGCCCTTACACACTCTTCCAAGGTGACGGTAGTAGATTCTGAAAGCCAATTACTTAGAGGAGATGGAATGGGTGTGGAGCACTGGAGAAGAAAGCTCTTTACAAATTAGTAGGTTCACTCCTGTCTGCGATCTTAGAGAAAGATAAGGAAAACATGGACAGTCTCTGCTGTCAGCCTGGACTCTTCCAAAAACACAGCCATGCTTTCCTTCCACCCCATTCTTCATTTCAAGGCCGAGATCAGGGCTGCTCACTTCACAGATTCGCTTGTTTGACAGGGGGAGATTCACTGAAAGCTTTGGAGAGTATGAAGGAAGCAAGAGGATAAGGTCACTGGGCTGGAAAAAATTGCAGAAATTAAATAAAATTAACAGAGAGTCATGCAAAAACGTACATTTAAAAAATCAATTGCACAAAACAGGATAGAAGAGGAAGGGCTCAACAGAAGTTCTTATAAAAAGACACAGAGGGTTCCCTTGGCTACAGGCGGGTGATGACTCAATAGTGCATATGGCAGCCAAAAAGCTAATGCAGATTCAAACCGCATTGAGACACACAGCACACAGGTCGCGGCAGGGTATCATCTCACCTCTCCTGCCCCGGGCAGGACATATTTAGAGTGGAGGGACTCAGCTCTGAGTACCACGTGTTAGAAGGACCCTTAACAATAAGGAAAACTGAGAGAGCATGCCACTCCTAGAAGGAGGGGCTGCAAGGAGAGAGGGTGTGTTGGGGGAGAAGTATAGAAAATATTTAGCTCTTTAAATAACTGAATAGTTTTGCTGCGAAGGAAGCATTGAACATGTGTGCAGCTTCAGAACTCGAAACAGTGGATGGGAAGAAATCACAGGGAGATAGGTTTCGGCTGAATGTTAGGAAAAGCTTATCACAATTGGATCCATGCCACATGGATGGGCTATCGCTTTTTGTTAATGGAAGAAACAAAGGAAGCAAAAAAGAAAAGGGAGGAGAAAGAAACATATACATAGGAGCACGCCATGTGTTCTACACTGATCTATGCTCTTGTTTTACAGCGATGAACATAGCAGATGTGGGCTTGTCTGTGTGGAGTTTAGGGACCAACACGAAAGGCAGAGATTAAATGCATAAGCACACAGATAAATTACACAGGTTGCTCTGAGAGAAAAGAACGGGTATAAAAGGGAATAAAAAAAGAGGGTAGAAATAATTTGAGTTACGAGTGTGCAGTTGCATAAAGGATTTGAGCTGAATCTGGAAGGTAACAAATTATCAGAACATAGTGGAGGATATTCTATGCTTTGGGACAGAGCTGGGACTAGTTCAGTGGCTTTCTCCCTGATGCCAGGGTGTCAGTCACCAGGAGAGAGATTTGCAGCAGTCTTGGTCCATCCCAAGATATTCTGAATTGGCATTTTTGGTACCAGAGACTCTGAAACTCTATGACAACATGTTAAATGAAAGAATTAGATGAAAACCCACGCTCTTTGATTCTAGTATCTAGGTCTCACTTATGTTATTAATCTTTATGCTTGCATTTTGTAATTAAATGTCTCTAATTCAAAGCCTGTATACTTTGTTCTCTTCAGAACCTGGTTCACAGAACAATGAAGGGATTCCAAGCCAGATGCGTACCTGACTTGAATTTTTCCAAGAGGTGGGTACCATTCCCCCTGCCAAATACTGTGTAACAGTGTAGCTGGTGCCCGAGGTCCCTCTAGTGGTCAGAAGGTGTTACTTCGGCTCCCACTTCCCTTCCAAACTCAGGTTTGTTCGGTGAATTTGCTCAAGGGGACCCTAGGAGAGACGAAGCAGCCCTATGAAAAAAAAGTAGATACATCCGAATATGTGTTTTAGACAGTTCTTCTCTCTAATGTTAAAAGTAGAAGTAGAAGATCTCAGGATTGCCCTCCAACTCATCCTGCCTCTTTTTGCTGTGTTTAGGATGATCTAAATTTAGAGGAGGTTTACAAAACCACTTCCTAAGACACCAAGTCGTTAATTAAGGAGTTGTTTTTCATTTTCTGGGAAAACACATCACATATCAGTCTTGGGTGGTTGGATGGAGGACCTTGTTTAATTGTAAGATCTGGGTCATCCATTCTGTGCTATGTCACTTATTTTCAGAATTTTAGTTTTGTCACCTGAGAAAAAGCAAATAATGACACTTGACCTGCCTAACTCACAGGTCTGATGTAAAGATGAAATGGGTTAAGCAGAGAGAGGTGGAAATTGCAAAATGTATTACACCTAGGAGCAAATACTGTACAATTATTAGTAAAGAAGAATTCACTCTGCAGGAAATTAGGGAAATGTTCATTCCTCTTTTGGAACCTTTCACTGAAACATAAGTTTTTCCAAAGATAGCAGAACACAGGAGCAGGACTGTTGGGAATTACTCTCCCTCTTTTCTTGCATCTCTACTTAGCTTGGGACCAAAGGGCTACGGAATCTGCCTGAGACAGTGTTTAATAGGAAGCTCTGAGGAATCATTTCTTTAAAAGATTGGCCAGCGTGGAGCTGTATATGAGTGTGTGTGTGTGTGTGTGTGTTCATAGGAGGTGGCAGTTGGTAATGGGACCTGTTGATGGACATTTTGCTGGCATTTGGGCTGGTTTGTGAAGCATGAAAGTTTTATTTAGAGAAGATCGTAAAATGCTCCTGGACAGCCAAGAAGTAGCAATTCCCCTGCATACCCTTTATCACACCTCACCATATTACAGGGTTTCTAAAATGACTGCATGCCAACTTTTTTCCCAGTCCATTCCTGTGGTTCCATTCCTTGGAAATTGGAATGGTTGAAGCCTTTTTCTAGGACTTGGAGTCACTGAGAAGACTTATCTGCTCAGCAGCCACTGTGCTTCCCTCAACTCAGTGAAACCCATGCATGCTACCAGGGCCACTCCAAGTAGATCACAATATCAGTGTCGTCTGTGAGCCTGTAAGAAACGCAGGCACTTAGATGCCACTCCAGACCTGCTGCTGCACCAGAATCTACACTTGAAAAAGATCCTAGGCGATGTGTGTTTGCACACTGACGCTGAAGAGGCACTCCACAGTTTGCTGAATATTCAATCGGACTCTGTCTTCATCATAATGTCTTCACCTCCCACCCTGCCACCACTTCCTGCAAATAAAAAGTTCCAGTTCCCTGAAACTTTCTCTTCTTCAGTTGTCTGCCTTTGAGACTTAACATTCAGGACTTATTACACACTGGGCCATCCAATGCAAACACCTAGTTCTCATGCTTTAGAAAAGGTGACACAAAGTCATAGCCCCCTTCTTTCAGAGGCTTTCTCTGGCTTAGAAATAGAAACTTTCCTCAGACCTTCCCTGGAACTGCACCGGTATGGGGGCTGTCTTTCTTTCTTCTGTTCTGGGTAGGAGGGACCTCTAGGAAAGGTGGTTGTGAGGGAAACAGTGGGAAGGGAAGGTGGGGTCAGAGGTGAACAGGTACCCAAAGAGAAGTTAGCCACAGGCTGGCAAAGTAGTGCTTCTGCAGATGGTGGAGCAGCCAAAGGATCACCATGCACATGAATCTTATGGGTACATCGCTGTTCATAACCACAGACAGTCTTTTCCTTCTGGACCCTGTGTCAGGCACGGTGTCCTTTAGGCAGAGACTATAATTAGTGGCCAGGTTCTGTCTGGGTTGGTGTCACAGACTGCCCCTATCACTCTGTGGATGCCTGAAAGAATTACTGTTAGATCTCTGTCTCTGTCTCTGTGTCTCTGTCTCTGTCTCTCTCTCTCTCTCTCTCTCTCTCTCTCTCTCTCTCTCTCTCTCTCTCTCTCTCTCTCTCTTCAGTGCCCTCTCCTGTATTCCTCCTTTAACACAAAAATTCTCTAAGAGGGGCCCTGAATTAAAAGTACACAGTAAATACAGGCCAGTGTCTCTGAAATGTTGCCACTAGAATCAAGGGAAACACCAAGGTCAGGCAGCTGAGGAGGGACAAGGGGCAAAGACAGGAGATGGAACACAGACTTTACGTGCAATGTGGCTACATTGAGGTACATCTCTGGCATAGTGAAAGATGTTGTTGTGGATTACACAACTGATTCTGTTGGGCAGGTGGGAAGCTAACATTTCCAGTCTCCTTGAAAGCCTCCGGACTCCCGCCTGACTCACCCACAAACAGTTTCACCCGCAGCCAAAGAGATGGTTACGACTGCTGACTCATCTACATCATTCGTCTGAGTGTCATTGGTTTCCCATCACTCTAGAGTAGAGGCAAATATTAGCATGATACTCAAGGTTTATCCTAACTTTCCCTGAGTCTGAATGTGCAGCCATACTAAATTCCAGACCTAATGAAGACAATAATTTTCCTCAAAGCAAGACACCTTCCCTGCAGCCTTTATGTCCATGCGTGGGGCTGGGTCTATGTCCTGGAAAACTCTCAGCACCTCCCTGTTGTATAGCCAATGCCTACTTGTTCTCAAGACTTAGCTCAGATTCCTCAACCTTCACTTGTCTTCTATATACCCTAAACTAAGTTAGCGAGTTAGTTGTGCCTGTTCTGTGGTCACCAAGCATCATAGTCATTAATATACAATGTTTGTTCTTCTGTGTTGCTTGTAAGAGACTAAATAACTTAAGAATAGGACTTATGGCTTTCTTATATTTTGATTTCTAGAACTTAGCCCAGCATTAGACACATAGTATGCATTTTAGATGTTGCGGGGATTAATTGATTGTCAGCTTGAGTGGGAACATCCAGTAGCTGGATTGAGTCACAGTGGTCCTGGACAAGGGAGCCCCACTTTAGGGAGGATTGTTGTCAGAATGATATAAAAAGGAGGACAGGAGAGACAAATTTCAGCCCATATTCCTTGGAGGAACTTCTTTGAGACTACTTTTCTTCAGAAGAATTTCTGGGATTTTTCTTTGAAAGAGCTTGGTCTATTTTCTTTCTATGAGTCTCCATCTTGGACATCATATCCTGCCTTCCAGTGCAGATCCCTCAGGCCCTGGCACAGATCCTTTAGCCTTTTATTACAGACATTTCAGTTGCCAGCACTGGTCCTTGGGCCTTTTCAGTGCAGGTACTTTAGTCTCTTATCTCCTGATATGGACTTGCACAGGACATTGCTGTGGGCTCCAGGCCCTTTACTGGATCCTCAGGTCTCCAGTGCCCAGATAAATATGTTGCAATATTCCATACCTGGCTCTAAAAGCACTGACTAATACAGATGTCTATGTGTTGTGGTGTGTGTATTAAGAACAGAGGGGAAGCCTCTGCGAGCTAACGTAATCTTTTTATAGTATGGAAAATAGGGCCCTCTAATCAGAAGTTGAGCAACTTTTCCAAATGTAAATTATTAGGAACCATAAAAAAAAAAATCTAAAATTTGAACTCAGGTCTGTGCACCAGAAAAATCGTTGCTCCAAAGCCCTTACTGTTTTCTCTCTTATTTTCAGCTGGTAATGAATTATAGCAGTCTTTGTTGCTGTATTTCACACCCCAAATTCAAGACACTGAGATCTGACGTTCTGGGAAGGACTAAAGTGAACCAGCTTCAGCCTCGTTGTTTTACAGATGAAGATGGAGGTGCAGGTTGAGCAAGTTTTCCACCTGGTTGTGATACCCAGAGAAATGTGCTAACGTTGTCATCGCTGTCTTGATCTGGGTCAGGTTGAGAAGGCAGGCATTGGGATAAGGATGAGGGCAGGGTCAGAGATTCTATCTGCTACACATCAGAGCAAACTGGATCAAAGTTATACATACTGATTGATCCTAGGCTGCCTAGGTGTTGTACCTCTCTCCCAGCTAAGGGAGGAAGGTGTCCAGGCCAACAAAAGCTGTTTCTCCAGCAGCCCCCTCCTCCCCAAAGGAGAACAGAATAGAACGCATCACTTAGAGCCCACTTCCTTCTAGTCTCACCACCAAAGGCTACAACCAGATGGAAAAAATGGTTAAGAGGGTCTCACATTTACATATATTTGCATGTTTCCATATCCACATGAGAACATGTAGTTCATTCTCAGGCAATTTTCAAGTAAATGTGATTATTGCCACCTGCGGGTTGTCATGGATAGATTTTGCTCTTCTCACTTTGCTTCTCAGCCACCCACAGTTCCTGAGCCCTGATTCTAGGCGAGTAAGTGCACACGTATGCATGCCCTTGCAAACACAGTGAGAAGGCGCTCCTAAGCAAACACGGAGACTCAGAGCCCCAGCGGAGAGGTAGCAGAGACAGCACAAAGCCAGCATGGAATCACTGAGCTGTGTCTTCCTAAAACACCATGACCACTACTACTCAGTCACATCTGTCCTGTGCATGCCACGGTGACAAACGCATCCATTAAACATGCTCGGCAGGTTACATACTTAGAGTCTGTGATGGTGTCACAACAACACCAAAATCCCTTCCTGACCCACAAGACAGTGGGCAGGAGACGAGCGTTACATAAATCATAAAAAAAACCCTCAGCCTTCTAGTCCCTCTAGAATCTTTTCCTCATTACTGTGTTACTCCCAATCTCCTCACCTTTTCTTGTAGAATAAGCTTTTCCTGCTATTTGGCTCACAGTGGGTCCTTCCCAATAGGCTTTTAATGGTATAGGAGCTCAAAAGGAACCAAAGAGGAGCTGTTTGGTTTTTGAGGCTGTCAGATAGTCTGCAGACACCATGAGGTGCTTGGAAAGCACAGGAAATAAAGAGCAAGTCAGTTCCTCGCTGTTCTCCTTGGCACTGAGAAAAGAGTCTGTGAAGCAGCAGAACATCAGGACTTTTCTTTGGGAAAAAAATGCTTTTTGCTCATGATTTCTGTGTGTTTGAATATTGGACACATGAGTTACAGGAAAGTATTTCTTTACAAACTTCATGGATTTGAAATTCTCCTGTGCAAATTTGTGAATAAACTCATCAACAAATATCTTCTGTGCATCACAGTAAGCTCTGACCCTGTAATACAGTAGGTCATCATAGATACTTGCTGCTGTCTGCTTTCGTAGAGATGCATAATACTGCTAGTGTGGGATTCAGAAAGTAAAATTGTACAGACCCTGCTTTCTGGGAACTCAGAGTCTATAAAGATACTTGAAACACTGTATTAATATTTAATGGCAGAAGGCATATATACAGTTGTTTTTGTTTAGACTGCTGTGACAAAATTCTATAGACAGTAGCTTATGAACAACAAATGTGTGATTTTTTTTTCTCTACAGTTCTGAGGCTGAGAAGTCCTTGATCAAAGTGCCAGTGAATTCCGTGTCTGATGTGGACCAGTTTCTGGAGCCATGAAAAACTCTTCTTTTGGGGTACAAGGGATGAGGAGATCTCTAGTGTTTCTTTTGTAAGGGGATTCATGACTCAGTTAATTCTCAAAGACCACCCTATAAAAGTTCATGCTATAGGTTGAGATTTCAACATAAAAATTTGATAGTTGTGGGACGGGACATGCAGTAACAGTCACTAAAAGCAAAGCCATGAAAGTTAGAGAGCCAAGTTGGATTCCCGTATCTATATTTGGAGGATTAAGTTGACCAAACTGTAAGGAAAGTAACACATCACTTGGCACTGAGTCAGCTTTTAAGATATTCTCTAAAAAATAAGGAATAACATAATTAACAAAATATGTGATTTAGAGTCGTACAATTTTTAAATTTAGAAAAAAAAAAACCCATACGAGTGCTCTACTCTAATCCAATGTTTCTCAAATAATGGTCTTTGGATTGCTGCCAGTTTTTGACAAGTTTTATTTCCAGTTTGCAGCACAATATAAAAACAGGTAAGCAACATAGTGGGAAACTATTCCTTCTCTGGTGTTCAGTGTCCCTTTCTTAAGGAGCTACTGAAAGGAAGGTGGTAAGATTGCTAATCCTGTATTGTTTCTCCATTTATTAGTATTGATCCAGCATGCTGGGAAGCCCTGTACATTTGAGAGTTCAGATAGGGTGAAGCAAACAGCTAACCACACTCTGCATGATTTTCAAGATCATTGATGTCAGCAGCCAAGAGGGCGCTGCATGTAGAGGACAGAGCCTTGAGTCTAAACTCAGCTGTTGTTTTCCTTGCACACTGGTTTTCTACTCTAAAGATCAGAAGAATGTTGCAGGGTTCAAGGAAAATAATGCAAGTGAAAACAGTTCGTAAATGGTAAAGTTCTGTGGACAATCCCATTTCTACCACGAGTGGTTCACATTCCACAGTA